TCTTTCCCAAAGCCAAACTGCAAGGCCAGGTAAGGAGTTTCTAAATTAACTCTCCTTTGGCCATCAGTGCTTCGGAGTGTTCACAGAAGAGTCATTGCTTGCTTTCTACTGGACACACGTGCGGAGAAAAGTCAGCATGCGTGCTACTTGCCTCTCTTGAGATTAATTGAGTTTTTGCTCAAAATGGAATCTGAACTGTTCATTCTGAAGGGAAAACTTCTTTTCTTGTATATTCATTGCTAGGAAGTTGAAATATCCAGTACATCATTGGTTTGTACATATTCGTAACATTGAAAAGTTTTTGTTCAAATGCAATCCAAATAAAATGTGATGTTGAGGTCTTATAGAAAGAAAAAAATAACATTGAAAGACAAGCTGTTGTCAAGGAGGGGAGATTTGTCTGCTTTGCTTTGCTCTGTTGTCTCTGGGAGAAGGCAGGCAGGGGACCGCTGTTTTCTTCTCATTATAAAGGACCCCCAGGTACTTCTGGCCAGAGTCACTGAAGCCCGTTCTCTCCTTCCTGCTAGTCAAATCATCAATTTTTCTTCTTCGCCCCAGGAAACAGACTTTCTGACACTGATTTCCTATGTGTGAATTCTAAGGGAATAGTTTTGGTTTTTCTGAGTGTCAGGAAAGAGCTGAGTCTAGAAAATGGGACTTTTCTGGGGAGGGATAGGTTGGAGCTTAGATAAATTTAGAGAATGCTAGGTAGCTAGAGGAATGTCAAATTTACTTAGTAAAGAGCTGAAGAGATTTTAGGGAAATATTGTCTGTACACATTACCTTCTTTAAATTTGCCATATGAATTAGAATTGTGAAAAAATAAGTCTTCTATGCATTTTTATTAGTTATAATGCATAACTTCTAATGTTGAGTGATTGGATTCTTTAAAATGTTTCCCTCTATGTATTCTTGCAGTAATCATTCATTACATACCCTATGCCAAACCCTTCCATCCCAGATCTCAAAATCCGTACACCCTAATAAATAACAAACACAGACATAATGAAAATCCAAAATCAAATCATGTTTAATTCTTGCTTTAAGAGGCAAAAAGCAAATAGAAACTTTAACAGAGGAGAAGAATGGAGAAAACTTCAAAGAAGTAGAAGTCTACTGAAATTTGAAACCGTCAGTAGTTTACAAGGTCATAAAGGTGCAAGCATCTTCCAGGCAAAGGGAGGAGGACACTTTCCATGTGATCCCCAAGGTTTTGGTTGACACAGGGAAATGCAAGGAGCAGTTCCATACAGCTAAACATGGCAGGCTCAAGGTTAGGCTGAGATGAAGAAGTCAGGGAGCAGAGGGATTCTGAGGTTTGAACTTTATGCTCTAGAAAACAGAGGTTACTGCATGAATGTAAGTCTCTATTAGAAAAACTGAGACTCTCCAATAAAGTAGAAAAGAATCTTCTTACAATGTCTTCGTGAGGGAAACAGGGGTGGTTGCCTGGATCCCAGCCTGGTGAGTCAGAAGTTTTGGTATAAGGTTTGGGTGACCCTTTACTAAAATGGGCACCATTAGCGCTTCTATTATTTTTATTTCCTCAGCTCCCATCATCCTCTTCATCCATCTCTATCCCTTCATAGGAAAGGGGCTTTGCAGGTGTGGCCTCAGAGACCGCACTCTTCTTGGGGCAGTCCTGCCCCATCAAATTTGGATCATTGCGATCATTGCCATTTGGGCTCTTTCTGCAATACCACTCATTACAAAAGGCAGAAGCTGCAGATGCAGACAGCAGAGGATTTGGACACATCTGTTCCTGTCCTAGAAACTTGGATACAGTTAACCTGTTAGAATTTTATTTTTAATTGGCAGAAGGCATGTGTGCCTGCCAGAGAGATGGAGAGACAAGACAGAGAGAGAAAACAAGCACCCACCAGTGGGGAGTGGTCACCCTGCAATCCTTTTTCCTCCAGTTCTCCATCCTGTCAGGATTTTAGGTATACATACACATGGGTTGAGTGTTTTTTGTTTTTTGGGGGTTTTTTTGGAGAGGTTTTCTCTATAGGGTGCGTGCACTCGCCAGACAGAGAGAGACAGAGAGACAGAAAGCGAAAAAATCACTCCCCAGAGGGGATGATCACGCCGCAATCCCTTCTCCTCCATTCTCCTCTCGGGATCTTGGGCACGCACGCACACACGCCCGGCATGAGTTTTAAGCCACCAGGTCCGGGATGCAAACCGCGGTCGACTACGTGGGAGTCCAGCGACATAGCCATTACGCTAACTGCTGGTTCCCGGGTAGAGTGTTTTTTAAGATGCCAGGGCTGGGAGTTGAACTGTGGTTGCCTATGTGGGACCTGACTCCTTATGCACAATACTAAATGCTCCACTATAGGTGGGTCCTAGAGAAATACTTTGGATTTATTAACATAAAAAAGCTACTTCATTTGTGGTTAATTTTAGGTGACAGACCAAGCAAACAATAGTGTCAGGATTGTGTTCTCAATATAAAAAATCCACGCACATAAGCATAAGTTTCTATCATGCATAACATAAATAAAACTTAAAAAAAAAAAGAGTGCCTACAAAAAACACAAAACACTAGCTGTTTAGAGAACGCTGAAATTTGGACAAGGTTTTGAATAATGACTCAGATTTACAAATGTAGCATGAAGAAGGGCAGGATTTCACATGAGAGAGAGGCTGACCCAACGTTATTCTCCTCTGGGGTTCGATTACTTTTTCTTTTTCTCTTTCTACTTCTTTTTCTTTTGACTTTCTTTGTCTTGTTTTGTTTTGTCTAGTTTAGTTTTGTTTTGTTTTGGTAATTGATAGAGGGGTTATGTTGAAAGAGCTCCGGGTCCTTCCAGGCCCTTCAGGGATAAAATTATTACACATGGCATGGAGAGGCACTCAAATTTTAGATACTTCCCTTAGTGCTGAAAATCTTGGGGCTTATGTAAAAATTGGTAGCAAATAATGAGACTGGCTGATATTCTTAGGAAAATAAAGTCAGGGAACTGTACGTACTATCATGTCTACTTTTTAAAATCTTCACTTTTTTTTTTTTTTTTAATATCGACATGGCCTTTTCTTTCTTCTCTTTTCCTCTCCCTGCTTTTAAAAGAACTCACAGGACACATCTGAGAAGGGCCAGTTGGTGTGAACGTTACTAGGTTTGCTTGACAGAATATCTGACTAGACATCACGAGCTATGAATTCATTGTGTTTTGTACGTCGGATCCAATATACAAATTAGGAATAACGATGTAAGGTAAGCAAGTCTTACAAATTAATTATTGTAAAATTATTTAAAGTGGGTTATTAAGTAATTGGTTTATTTGACTTGTTTATGCAGAGTACATTTTTCTATAATTTAATGTCTCTTATTCGATGAGATTTGAAAAGAGTAGAATTACCAGTAAGGCTAGAGAATAGCACAATTAGTTTTTTCTGGTGGGGGAGAGTGGGGTGGGGGGCAAGCAGAGTTAAAGAGAGGAGAGGGAAGGAAGAGCAGCGCTCCCAAGCAGGGAGTGGTCCTTGGAAATGGGTTGCCAAAGAGAAGCTGGGGTAGGGGGTGGGGGCAGTTTATCCTGGTCAGGAAGGGTTTTGTCCAGGCTTGTTCCAGGCAGGGCTTGCACATGAATTACCCGCCCCTCCCATGGTGAGGGTCACATGTACATTAATTTTATTTATTTATTTATTTTTGAGAGAGAGATTTTTACTATAGGATGCATGCTCTCTCCAGAGAGACAAAAAGCGAAAAGTCACCCCCCTCCCAAAGGGGATGGCCATGCTGCAATCTCTTCTCCTCCATTCTCTTCTCGGGATTTTGGGCACGCATGCACACACACTCAGCATGAGTTTCAAGGCGCCAAGTACGGAACTCAAACCATGATTGACTATGTGGGAATCCAGAGACGTAAGCTCTACACTGTCTGCTGGCCCCGACATGAACAATGAGTTCTTTTTTTTTTTTTTTTAAAAAGCAAACTGATAGAAATTTTAAATAGAAAAACAGAACACAATATTACAGGCAAAAAAAAAAAAAAAGTGTGTACCCTGAGACGGAAACAACCGAGTGCCTACAACTAAGCGTATCTTCAGAATAACAGACAAAAACCAACAAAAGTCAGTAACCATATTTTGTAGTTGTGTATGGTGATTTTCCTTTCACAGGGCTCTAACAATGTTTATTAGTACAGGGATTTCTGTATCCAAGACATGGAGATAAATTAGACAAGGCTCATGAGCAGAAAGACAGATTAGAGGCCTGTGGATTTTACCCACTAGGAAACAGAACCGAGTGAAAACGATGGCTTGACTCACCACTAATGTAGGGTACGGCCTTGAAATTGTGACAGATGTACACTCACCTGGCAAGGAGACACCACGCTCGTGACAGTGGTTTTCCCAGGGTGAGGCTTATCCATTGCACGCTGGATGTGCTGACCCCCTGTGATTTCCCCAGATGTGGGACACTCATCTGCATGACTTGTGGTAGTGGGGGACTGCCTTCCTCTGGGGCGGGCTTGGGGACGGGGATGTGACAAATGTGAGCATCCCATGGAATTTAATGAGTGGGTGTAAGAAGCACTGTGGAGTGACCGGTCTGTCCACGCCAGGGGCAGAGAAGCCCTAACTAGACAGCGTTACTGGGTGTGTTGTGCGCGCGCGTGCGTGTGTGTGCGTGCATGTGCGTGCCTTAGGCTTCTGAGAAGGTGACCAGAGACTTTAAGGGTAGATTCTTAGCCTTCTTAGAGGGACAGTGCCCTGAAAAGTGCAGGCATCCTACTTAGAGAAACCTCCTAGCAATGCTCAGAATGCACGAGACCCTGCGTGGGCGTATCAACACTGGAAGGGGGCCAGTCAGGAAGGTCTCTTGAAGACTGGCATGTCCCAATGTAGCAAGCTGTCAGTTTGAGATTATATCGAGAGACCAGTGAGCTACAAGTCCTGTCGTCCCTTTTAATATTGTCCTGCAATTGAGGGCACCAGAGGCAAGGCCTTTGCCTTCCTATCAAGGTGTAATTCTCCTGAGACTCATGACAAGGAGAGCAGAGAGTTTCAGACTCCCAGGAATGGGTGGCAGTGGCAGTGGCAGAAATAGCAGGGATGTAATTCCCAACCTTGTGGAGGAAGCTAGAACTCAAGCAGAGCGGGTCTGACATCAGAGAGTTGGTTAGGAGGTAGGCACCTTCATGTGTAGGTCCCTGCCTGTTCTAGAGTCAGGAGACACCGGGGGCAGGTAGTAAGATCAGCAGTACCAACCACTCTTCCTCCAGAAGGCACTGGAGATGTCCAGCCGCAGCCTGGCCTTGGGCAGCACGAATAGCTTTTCTTGAATGCTAAGACTGCACTTTCGGGCCTCCGAACGAGTGGCACAGAACCCTCCAGAAGACGTCACTGGGTCAGTGGTGCAGAGATAGCACCATCTGACCTCTGTGGGAATCACGCGCAGAAGTCTGGTTTGAGACCTCCTATGTCAAAACATGCCTGAACTGGGTCTTTGCCTTCAAGAAGACACTTTTGTTCAATTTTGTGTTTATATAAGGTCTTCAAACAGTTCATGAAAAATACCTATTGTGAAAAATGGGCCAGAAGGTGGCATAGCAGATAAGACCCTGGATCCCACATGGCTGACTGCACAACTTGTGCCTGGACCTGGCACCTTGAAAAACACTCTGGGCACCCTTCTACCAACACCCCCAAAAATCTATGGATGGATTTTAATTTTTTTTTGCACCCAAATATAGCACTTAAATTCTACTTTTTTCTGTGGACTTTTTGAAATGACTCTCAGAAGCGAATGATGGCAAAAGGCTCTTTTACCAGCTGACTGGGATCTGGTGAGCAGAAGGTGAATCCAGAGTGTGGTCTGTAGTGGGATGCACTGAAGTACATTAGGAATACCAATGTTTCATACCTGGAGAGGTATTTTAACTGTCAAATTTCATTTCATTTTCTTAACTCAATAGTTACATTCTTATGTAAGGACCACAACAGTAATATTGACTGCTCTGTATATTCTCACCCAGAATTCCATTTCTTCATGTATGTACATGTATGTTTGCATAATGTGATGTAAACAGCAATGCTTTATATTTAATGTATTTGCTACGACAAAATGCTTGTTCTCAGAGCCTTTATTTATTTACACTTACAGTTCCAAATCACGATGCGTTTGCACATATGGACCTGTGGTGATTGTGGTGTAGCTAGTGATGATTTATACAGGCTGGAAAATGACACAATTAATTAAAAGATCACTTTTGGAAAATATATGTATTCCATGAATGACAGAGACAAAGAGACAGAGACCAGGAAGTTCTCCAGGCATGAACTGACAAGCTTTCCTTAAGAGTCAGCCTTATAGTGAACAGTGGCACCACTGTCTACCCCTCAAAAGGTAGTTTTATGCGTTTGTTTGTTTATTTATTTTAGGTATTAACAGGTATTTTTAATGCATTTTTTAATTTCAAGGAAAACAGTTTTAGTTTTAGTAGATCCAAATAAAAAAGTGTTAAGAGAAATTTCCTTAAAACTTCAAGTCAGGAAAAAAGTTAGGATTCAGTTCCAATAGTAGGTAGATGAACCTATCAGCAGTTCAAGAGAAGACAAAAATCTTTAATATGGAAACCAAAGCTTCGAAGAAAATCAGTAATGTTTTAGTCTAAAGTAAAAAAAAATAAAATTCTATTTCACCAGTTTAGTCTCATCTAATTAATCTCTCTTCTATTAAATTTGCAGTGTTACTGTGGTCCGATCTCTCTATTTGAACTCTGAAAGTTAACATTCAACCCTGGACTTGTCCCTACCATTAGGCTGGCCATTCTCATGGTTGTTTTTTGTACTCTTATTTCTGTGTGTCCGAATTTAGTTTTCCTGATATAGCATTCCCTTCGGCGCTTCTTGGAGAGCTGGTCTGGTGTTGGTAAATTTTTTCAGGTTTTGTTTATCTGAGAATGTTTTTGTCTTTTTTTTCTTCTGGGTAGAGTATTCTTGGTTGAAATTGTTTTTTGCTTAACACTTCGAATATATTTTCCCATTCTTTCCTTGCTTTCATTGTTTCTGATGAAATTCATTGTTTCCGATGAGAGGTCCAACGTTAGCCTGATGGGCTATCCTTTGAAAGTAACTTGACATTTCTCTCTTGCCAATTTTAGTATCTTGTCTCTGTCTGTGGTTTTGATCAATCTGGATATGATGCACCTTGGGGAAGATCTTCTTGGGTTGATTCTATGTGGGTTCCTTTGTATTTCTTGAGTCTACATATTTGAGTGCCTTTCTAGGTTTGGAAAGTTTTCTTCCAGGGTTTCATGGAATAGATTATCAATGTCCTTATTAGTTTCTTCACTTTCTGGGATATCAATGATCTGGATGTTTGGGCATTTAATGGTATCTAGTATTACTCGTTTGCTATTTTCATTTTTTTAAAAATTATTTTCTGAGTCTTTTTGGTGAATTTTTCTAGGTCAGAGGTTCTGTCTTCTACATCTGAGAGCTGATCTTCTACATGATCTAATCTGCTTAACACTTATCATAGCCTTCATCTCTAACAATTCCATTTGATTCTTTCTCATGATGTGTATCTCCTCTTTCAGATTGTGCAAGAATTCCCTCACCTCCTGGAACTTGTTCTTTTTTCTCTTGCATTTTCTGGAATTTGTTGTCTCTTTTCTCTTGCATTTCTGTTAGCTTCGTCACTGTGAATATTTTAAATTCTTTATCAGGCATTTCCATGAGTTCCCTTATATTGACTGTAGAGGAAGAGTAGTTATTCTTTTTCCTTAAAGGAGAGATATTTTCTTGGTTTCTCATATTTCCTGTGCCTCTGTGGTGGTTTCTAGTCATCTGATGGATTGTACATTTTTTTTCCTAGCTTTTGGAGTTAAATCTGAGCATTCAGAGGAATGCAGTAGGAGGTGACCTACAATCTCTAGGGTACTATTTTTCTCTCTTTGTGCAGCTGATTCAATGGAAATTGAGGATTAATCTGACCCTGAAAGTATTCAGGTATTTGGCTACTGAGCACCTAGACCTGTCTAGAAAATTAGTGTGTGGAGGCTGAGCAAAAAAGTGAGAAAGGTAAAAAGAAAAGGAAAAGTAAAAGGAAAAACCCCCCAAAAAAGGGAGGAAAAAAACAATAAAAAGAAAAAATTATTTAAGCAAAAAATGAAAACTGTGTGGTGCACCAGACCACACGAATGGGGCCACTCAGTGCGCAGATATAGATGGCTGCTGATTGGCTTGTCCTATGGGGGAAAGGTAAGAATTAGCAAGACTAAAGAGTGGCAGAGAGCTAAGAAGTTTAAAAAACAATAGAGAGAGAAAAACAGAAAGAATAAATAGGGTGCTCTAACCTGGCTCCTGGCTAGATCTGGCGGACAGGAGGGTGAAGTCTGGACAGAAGGTCTTCGGTGGTCCTAATCCTTGAATGGGGCTGCTCAGAACTGAGATACTTCTGTCTTCTACATCTGAGAGTTGATCTTCTACATGATCTAGTCTGCTTAACACTTATAGCCTTCATCTCTAACAATTCTGTTTGATTCTTTTTCATGATGTGTATCTCCTCTTTCAGATCATGCAAGAATGTCCTCACCTCTTGGAACTTGTTCTTTTTTCTCCTGCATTTTCTGGAATTTGTTGTCTCTTTTCTCTTGCGTTTCTGTTAGCTTTGTCATTATGAATATTTTAAATTCTTTATCAGGCATTTCCATGAGTTCCCTTATATTGACTGTAGAGGAAGAGTAGTTATTTTTTTTCCTTAAAGGAGAGATATTTTCTTGGTTTCTCATATTTCCTGTGCCTCTGTGGTGGTTTCTAGTCATCTGATGGATTGTACATTTTTTTTCCTAGCTTTTGGAGTTAAATCTGAGCATTCAGAGGAATGCAATAGGAGGTGACCTGCAATCTCTAGGGTACCATTTATCTCTCTTTGTGCAGCTGATTCAATGGAAATTGAGGATTAATCTAACCCTGAAAGTATTCAGGTATTTGGCTACTGAGCACCTAGACCTGTCTAGAAAATTAGTGTGTGGAGGCTGAGCAAAAAAGTGAGAAAGGTAAAAAGAAAAGGAAAAG